AAATATAAGTTTTTTATATCAAATTTCTTAGAATTTTGCATAGAATTTTATAAAATTATTCCCGTCGAAATCTGACAACTTTAAAAAATTCACTTAAATCTCGTCGCGACGCATCGAAAAGCGTGTGAGGTCTAAAACGACATTTTTCGGGTTTTACAACATGTTTGCAAGTCAAGTGATCCTTAAGTCTCTTTACACCCCTAGTGATGTAAGTAAGGGGGGGGGGGGGCAAATCATAAGCCTAATTTTGGATTGTTGGCGGCTCTCGGTTTGGGCTTGGCTGTTCGATTTTGTTGTGTTTTGGGGAGCTGCTTGGCTCCAGCTCATTATGGTTGAGCTACTATTTTCAGCTCATAAATTAAAGGTTCTTTCCCCTTTGCCTGTGACCCTTCGGTTTCCCCAGTTGGCTCCCCTTCCTGTGGCTGGTTCCTTCCCCCTTTGGCTGCTTGTTTCTGATGTAGACAAAGGGGGGGTCAACACGAGTTGAGTTTTTCTTTTAATTTCTTGCCTTGTGTCTTTTCATCTTTATCTCATGGGAACTCAGAACTTATGGATTTGGTATCCTAAGTTTAGCACTTCATTTGAAATAATTAGATATTCAGATTTGGACTTTGTTGGTTGTAGGGTTGATAGAAAGAGTACTTCTAGAACTTATCAATTTGTAGGAAATTCTTTAATTTCTTAGTCCAATAGAGAACAAAATTTTGTAGCCCTATCTACTACTGAGGCTGAATACATTATCTTAGAAAGTTGTGTGGCACAAGTTCTTTCTTTTGGACTGTTTTCTAGTTCTATGAAGCCTTGGCTGATTTCGGTTTTGAGCTTTAGTTGTTGAATTTTTAGTTGGTGCAAGCTCATTAATATCTAGTAGAAGTGTAACTCATTATGAGCTGATGTTTAGCTCTAAATTCATTATGAGGTGCAAGCTTTTAGGTGAGTGGAACTTGTCTCTTCCTCTTCTTCTTTGCCTCTTGAGCTGCTGCATTTTTCCCTCATTTGGCTGCTGAAACCGTGGCCTTCAATGTGCTTTAATGGTGGCATTTGGGGTTTCTCTGTGGTGGAAACCGTGGCCTTTTATTTCCTTTAATTGCTGCCTCGGTTGTGCTAGAAACCTGTGGCTTTTTTTCTTGATCTTTGCTTTGCCGTTTGGAGTTCTCTGTTGCTATTACCGTGGCTTTTAAATGGCTTGCTGCTGTTGGTTTTCCTATGCT